AAAATCAAACGTGAGATTTAGAAGGGTCTTAAATCAAAGCGTTCTGCTAGATTGTATATATTTATCTTCTACCTTTCAAACAAAAATAGAATTCTGATTCGATTCTTTGATGTCGTTCCTTTGTGATGTCATTCCCTTGTCCGTTCTTTACATAATTTTGTCATCCTCCCGCACGTAATTTGCGAGTAATTTTGTTACATCGATGACAAAGTGGGAACTTTCTTAATGAGATTATAAAAACGATTTCATTCGTTTAAACAAAAAATATCAACTTATTCCGCATTGTCGTACTATTATAGAGAATATCCCATCGCTACCGCGATGCCCGTTGATAGTCCAGAACCTAACCTAACCTAGTCCAACACGATGACAATAGCGGTGTCATGGTAAATGATCGATGGTAAACATTCTGTATATTTTTCAACGCTCTTATCGGTAACAGAGAAGCATGGTAATCGTGAAAACAATTTTATCGAGACAGTATTCTCATCTGAGTGTCGTCCACTGGAGGAAACATCGAGGGAATTATCGTCCGTATCGACCAGTTGAGAATAAATATGATGCCAGCGGAACTGATGAATCACATCGCAATTTGTCGCCGTTTATTATTCCAATGCGAGTTATTTCAATCCAACAAAGCAAGCGCGACGTTTCGTTAATTTCCCTCGATATTGATTCGCCCCTTCCTTCCTCTGCGGACGTTATCTTGCTGGAATCAAGGGCGGTCTTTTTCCTCGATGTATATATCGACATTTTTCATCTAGCTGTCAAATATAATGGAATGGTAACGTGATTGTCGCATCGCGGTTTCGGTCTTCTACTCCGGTGTATTTAATTGCCTCAGTTTCACGATGCCGGACATATTTAATTTTACCGGCGATCGTACGTACGCGATCGAGCGACCAACTGACCGACCGCGCATGCCCTTCTTGTTGAGAAATTAATGTCGATCAACATCATCTTTTCGCTGTCGATGTGATGCGTCAATAATCCCCTTGAGTGAAGCTCAAACAATCGTTTGAGCTCATCTAATTCGCTTATCGACAGAACATTTCAAGAACAGCCATCTGCGAAACCGAAAGCGCGTGCTTCTGTAATTCAGCGGGATCGATCGATTGTGTCAATTTCGTTTCTGATAGCATTGTTCTTTCGTGATTCCTGTTTAATATCATCCCGCGAACGGAACAGTACTCTCTTTAACTTCTCGGAGTGAAATCTACGTTTGAAACGAGCGAAAATTCGCTCGAAGCGAACATAAAAGTATCTGTTATATCCATGATAAAAAACAAAGATATGATGAATGTTTGACATCAAAACTACCAACGCCGTCGAAATGATCAATTTATAATTTCTTTAATAAAAAGATAATAAAATAAAATTAATCAAATTAACCCTTTAACGCCTACTGGTAACTATAGTTACCAGAAACGCATTTAAGAATCTATTAGGAGCGCAAAAAAGTTCTGAGCCCTAGATTTCATACTACTGAAACCACAATTTAAATTGCATTAATTTTCCCGCCCTCTTGCGGTTTTAAAGCAGTGACATTTGGTCTTTCGAAGCATCGTGCGATTTGGCGTTTGATGCACATAACCTTAAAATCAGCAGTGTTCACGATGGCAATAACAAAAGAGCATATTCGATTTTCTATCCACTTCGCGTTTCATCTGAAGAAAAATGCTGCTGAAGCCACTGAAATGATTTGTGTTGCATATGGAGAGAACGCTGTAAGTTATGCTACGTATAAAAGGTGGTATCAAAAATTTCGCCAAGGAGATTTCAGTCTTGAAGATGAACCGCGTGCTGGACGCCCTCAAAAGATTGAAACGGACGAACTGCAAGCATTGTTGGATATAAACTCTGCACAAACTGAAAAGGAGCTTGCAGAGCAACTTGGCGTTACGCGACAAGCCATTTCCACACGTTTACATGCAATGGGAAAAGTTCAAAAGGAAGGCAGATGGGTTCCGCATGCACTGTCCGAAGACAACAAAAATCGACGGCGTGACACGGCACTTACTTTGCTTTCAAGGTTCCGGAAAAAGGATTTTCTGCACCAAATCATTACAGGTGATGAAAAGTGGATACTTTATGATAATCCGATGCGTAAAAAATCATGGGTTGACCCTGGTCAACCTTCGACATCGACGCCAAAGACCAATATCCACGTCAAGAAGGTTTTGCTTTGCATATGGTGGGATTGGAAAGGTATATTGTATTACGAGTTGTTACAGCCGGGTGAAACAGTAACGGCAGATCGCTATCAGCAACAATTGAGCAATTTGAGCGATGCGTTTGAAGAAAAGAGGCCATTTACTGGCAAAGGTCGTACAGTGATACTGCTTCATGACAATGCCCGACCACATGTTGCGAAAGTGACTCAGGACCATATCTTTGCGTTAGGCTGGGAACTTCTCCCGCACGCGGCGTATAGCCCAGACATGGCGCCTTCCGATTACTACCTATTCCGGTCTCTGCAGCATTTCTTGGCTGATACACATTTTGTGACACTTGAAGAGATACGAAAATGCATTGATGACTTTATCGCCTCGAAGCCGGTGAGCTTCTACCATCAGGGAATTCGCAAGCTGCCCGAACGATGACAAAAGGTCATCGACGCAAACGGGGAATATTTCGTTGATTAATATAGTTTTGTTTGTTTTTAAATAAATTTTGAATTTTGCAAAAAAAGGCTCAGAACTTTTTTGCGCTCCTAATATAACTTAGTCAAAAAAGGAGATATTTTCGTTTCCTTTGCACCACTGTAAAGGTGAATTCTTTTTTTAAAAAATGGTATATAGATTGTATGTAGATTCGGTTTAGTCAGTTTTTAGCTCAGTTTTAATGATAACATGTTTTGTCAAATTCCAAGCAGGTATAGTTAGCATTATTAATGAAGTGCATCTAGAAGTGCACTATAAATGAATAGATTGGTATCTATTGTAATTTTATACATTTGGAAGCTTTCTCAGATACAATATGTGGGATTAAAAGAATACAGAAATTCAAAATGGCGAATCCAATATGATGGACATGAAAACCAAGAAATCAACCAATTTTCGTGAAACCTGGTGATCTACAGTTTTTTATGCAGCGAAAAGTGAAGGGACGATTGACTAACTAAATGGTGATCTATAAGATATTCTTCTGAAATAGTAAATTTGACGCTCTGAACGATAAACTTCATTCACAAATATAGTAAAGTTTTAGCTCAAAAATGTCAAACTGACTATCAGAGTTATGTCGTATAGATTACTCTTCACTTTTCTCTGTATAGATTGCTCATTTCGTATATGCTTTTAGAATCCAAGTCGTATTTACCAATAAACAAAAAACGAACGATAAAAAAGCCAAACTAACGAAACCAACAAACGAAAAGCGGAAACTTCATGTACTTATTTAATCAGAAGTAAACGATTGATGCTCATTTTCCGTGTAATTGTTTCACGGTTTTTTCATCTGGATAACCATCTCTGAGTGTGTTCATGTTTATCATTTTTACCGTTATATTTACAAAAAAAAAATACAAATTTATTCGTTCAGAAGTAGACTATTACTTTACATTTTCCGTTCAAATGTCGATTGTTAGTTTTCGTTTTTCGTACATCAGGAAGTGTTACAACAAGCACATGCCTGTTAAGGAAAACAGTAAAAGACGTTGTCAATTGTGCAGCTCGAAAGGGAAGCAAAGCAGGACAAAAATAATTTGCAAAACCTGTAAAATTCCCCTCTGCATCTCTCGATGCTTTATGCAATTCCATTGCGGATAAATAAATATCAAGTTTTGAATATGAGTTTTATGTTTCGAGAAATTTTTCCAACCATTAGATATGATATAAAATTATTAAAACTAAAAAAGAGAATTTAACCGATCAGGCGTATTTTTCGCTTCTGGGAGTAGATTCTGCTTAGAAAGGTAGTTTTTCATAGATATAAAATTCTGATATTTTTTTTGGTTATCACTACTTATAGTCTCAGTTCAAAGAAACTCAAATTTTATTCTTAAAATATTTATAAAAAAGTCGGGCGTTAAAGAGTTAAATTAAAAAATTTGAATTAAAGATAAAAGTAATATTATTGACTTCAATATATTAAAAATTATTCCAATTTACAGCAATGTACTTCATACTTTTAACTGACGTTGAATAAAATTAAAGAGGATGAATAAATATATTTTTTCCTTGTATTATATTTTGTCCTTTTTCAAAAATTGTTATTTCGACAAATGACAGAAATCTCATAATCGCTAGTAGTTTAGTTTAGTATTAACGTCATGTATGAGAATCTTCCCTTTTTTTTCTCCCTCATATTTTTAAATCAATCCAACATTTGCGTGGTTTTTAGACCAATGTTGACTCACGTTCCCCGAATCGTTTGGAGAATATCTTTACTTTTCCTGAATCGATATTATCCCGACGTCGAAAAACATTTAACGTCTGTCTCAAACAAACATAACGCGGTGAGCTCAAATAGAAGTTTAATAGGAGATACTCTAATCGATTGTCGAGCTACGCTATCCACCGCTTTCAAGAGTTGCCGAGTTTGATTAAATTCAACAAGGAACATTGTAAATGGAGAAACTATTCGATAGTGCGCTGCGAAATCGTGCTTCAGTCGGAAAGAAGGAATCCGACACATCGTGATGTTAGGAAAGAGTGATAAATTTGCAATCTCTTGGAAATCCTTTGTTAAATCATGTGTGGAAGAACGCTCCTTCGTCTAATGTTAGCAAATTTCCCCCGAATCTCGCGAAAAATAAAGTTGATAGAAAATGAGTGCAAAGGCAACTTTATTCGTCTCTTTATCTCGTCTTATTTCGCGCGATAAAAGCTTTCTTTATCGACCCTAAAACCCAATTTCCCTCTCAATGTTCCTTTTTTTTTCTTTCGGTTTTCGCCACCGCACTCTCATCGTCGCGCGATAATTTACGATTTCTTCGTTAAATGTTCTCGCGGGCTAATCCTCTCAACGCGATCGTCTACTGGCAAATTGTTACTTACTGCTCGGTGTCCGCAGGATCGTTGCTGGAGGCGCGTAGTGCCGTGTACAATGTGACGATTACAGTCGCCATCGACCATCCAAGTCCCATCAGCCAATTCACTAATTTGTGCTCGTTGGTGAATGCGTTTACCAGCAGGGTGCGCAGATAGAAGCCCTCGCAGAACATCCAGGCGTAGTTTGTTAATAGGAAGTAATGAAAGAGCACATACAATACGCGGCATATCTGCAAAGGATCTGCAAAAGATACGTGGAAGTTCATGAATGGAAGTCCTTTCAAAACTGCTCAACTATTTGCGCACGCGACAGTAGCTCAATCAGAGCAATTGTGACATCGAGCTGCAAAATCTGATAGAAACGGCGCCGTGCTTCTTAATGATGCGGTTGACCGTTATTACCAAATTTGCGTAAATTCTTTTCGTTATATGTTACAGCAACACATATACGTCTGAGATATGTACGATAACGATAAATCAAATTGTTCGCAGAAGGGAACGGAGAGGTCGCAACCGTTTTCTTCACGAGCATTTCTCTTCTTTGGAATATTTCGCGCGAAGATTGTTGCGTGGCTCGAAAAATTGGCGAAAAAGCAATACAGAGATAACGTACGAGAATAACAAAAAATAACATAAACTGGCAACTATATAGTGACCAACTATAGTCACGGGAAATGTGACCTTTGTACGAGTCTCATATTCTAAACAAAAAAAGCCTTTTACAGAAAAAGGATTCCTCTTTCGCTAAAGCGATTAAAGTGAACGATTCATCTAAAATTTATTAGATATTATTCTAACCACTTTTCTCTTATTTCAAGAGGATTCCCTCTGATATCAATTAATTTTCCTCTTACAGGTTGTGTGAAAAGTACGCGGAGCGGAATCTATAAATAAACGGTAGAATTATAAATTGTAATCGGTTATATGGGATCACTCTTCACATGAACCTAGGTTAGGTTTCATTTCCATCTGTCAATTCTTTCTGTGTTTACAAGCCAATTGAAGTTGACGTGTCAGTATATTTGTTTGCAATGGAAAATTTGAAACAGCGTGCAGTGATTGAGTTCTTTGTTAGAAAAGGTTTAAAGGCAATGGAAATTCATTCCGAGATGGTAAATGTGTTAGGGGAATCTGCTCCTTCAAAAACAATGGTTTGTAAATGGGCACTTGAGTTTCAACGTGGTCGTACAAGCATTGAAGATGATCCACGCAGTGGACGTCCAAAAAGCGCATCAACACCAGAAATCATTGAGCAAATACGTGTTATTGTTCTGAAGATCCAAGTGTGACTACATGCGTGAAATTGCTCATACCATAGGCATTTCAGATGAACGGGTACAGCATATTTTGCATAAAGAATCACAAATGAAAAAGGTGTTTGGGAAAGTGGTGCCGCATACGTTAACAATTCAACAAAAACTCGCTCGAAAACAAATTTCTCAGCGTCATTTGAATCGTTTTAAGAAGAATAAAACGGATTTTGTGCATCGTTTTATAACTATGGATGAGACTTGGATCTATCACCATGATCTTAAATTGAAACAGGAACGTTTACAATGGACTGAAGCTGGATGTTCAGCTCCAAAGCAAACAAAGCATAAAAGATCAGCAAAAAAAGGTTTTGGCATCAGTTTTTTGAGATGCTAAAGGGATTTTGTTAATTGACTATCTGGAAAATGGTAAAACAATTAACTCTGAATATTATTGTAACCTTTTGGATCAATTAGACGCAAAAATTCGTAAGAAAAGACCTGGTTTGCAGCACAAACAAATTATTTTTCACCAAGACAACGCATCTGCTCATACAAGTGTTTTGTCAATGTCTAAATTCAATGAATTGAAGTACAAATTGCTTGATCATCCACTGTATTCGCCAGATTTGACACTCGGCGACTTCTATCTGTTCCGAAACCCGAAACAATTCCTCCGTGGAAAGCATTTTTTGTCGAATGAAGAAGCTATAGCAGCCGTAGATGCATATTTCACAGACCTTCCAGAAACACACTTCCACGATGGAATAAAATTATTGGAGAGCCATTGGGCCAAGTGTATTGAAGTTAATGGAGACTATATTGAAGAATAAAATCATTTTATGGAATTAGGTATTCTTTATTTCAGTTTCGCTCCGGGAACTTTTCACGCAACCTGTATATGAAGAGGAATATGTTAATTTGATGTCGGCTTCTTTTGTTCAATCATGCTCCGCCTCTAGACATGAACGAAAAAATAATCATATGCTCATGGGTCGGAATATTTGGAACGTTTTTTAAAAAAAGTACAGTCTGTCTAGTAAGAGTGTGGTCGGCCTTACTCATAACTGATAAACAGTTAAACGCCCTAAATCTTTTGTGGGCCGATAGAGGGACACTTTCTCCTTAATGCACTAGCAAGAAAGATTCAGTTGGAATCCTGCTTTAACACTACGTCAAGGACAAGCAAAATTAAATTCATTTCCGCACTCATGACCTGAAATGGCGCAACAAAATAAAGAAACTTCTGTTGACCGAAAAACATGTGACGAAGCGACTCGCTTGGGCCCACGAGAACATCGATCAAGATTATAGCAACGTAATTTTTACCGATGAATGTTCTATATGGGCACGTTGTATCCTCACGCCTGGTCGACTTCCACCAATAGGCTTGTCCAGCGAACAGTAAAACACGAAGTAAAGGTGCATCTTTGGGGCTGCTTGTCAAAGCAGGGATTCGGCACTTTGCACCTGTTTACCTACAACCTGAATGTCGAGAAAATGCTGAAAATATACAAAAAGGCTTTGTTACCGTCTGCCAAACGTTGGTTCGTCGATAAAAATGAGGTTTGGATTCTGCAGCAGGACAACGATCTTGAACACCGCAGCAAACTCTATACCGAGTGGAAGAAGCAATCTGGCATCATTACATTGGATTGGCCGTCGCAGTCGCCCGATGCAAATCCCATAGAAAATGTGTGGGTATACATTAGCAGAAGCAGAAGCTTCGTGGAAAATGCACGTACACTTTGAACAGTTATATATTGCGAGATTCGTCGGATTTGGAGATCCTTGCCGCTAGAATACGCCGTCAATTTGATTCAAAGCATGCCTCGGAGATGCCAGGCAATTATCGACGCCGGTGGTGACTGGACGCATTATTGACATTATTGTATCCTTCTTCTCATCGAATACAATGCATACATGTATTTAAAAATTTTATTTAATATATTTTTTTAAAAATTAACCCGACCACGTTCTTAATTGACAGACTGTACATGATGTATCATGAGGAAACTCCCGGATCTTTAGCGCGGTGACCTGGATCGGCGCAGATACAAATTTTCATACACTGTCCACATAACGGCGGAAATAAAGGTGCCGATAAATTACAAACTTACCGAAAATACCTAAGAAGATTCCTAAGGAGAGCATAAGCGTCACCAAGGATATCACGCCTCGTAAATTTCATTAATTTTTTGCTGCCCCTGTAATAATCACAAATATATTCTCACATTGGAACCGTTCGTTCGTCTTTTCGTTTTACCTTGTTCGTCTTTCCGTTCTTTTCCTTTCTTGATTGCTGTTTTCTCTTCAATAGTAGTCAGAAATGGAGCTCGAGAAATAGAAGGTGATCTCTTGCCTTTTACTGCTCTTATACGTTCTGGCGAAACTTATCTGCTTTCCGCTAACATAATACGTCGAATTTGTCTTAAATATACTTTCGTCTCATCTGCAAAGCAAAGTCGGCCAGTTATAGGACGTCGTAATGTTGTCCTGTGTATGACAAATGTCCACTAGGCACGAAATGTTTATGGAACTCGGACACGACAGCCTGCCTCAAGGACAGCCACTCCTGCGATTAGAAACGAATCGGGCAATCGTTTTGGGCTCTCGGCTGGCGAGCAAACAGAAAACGCACGGCGAAGACGGATTCAGTAAAATTCCCGTTCATCAAATATTTAAGGCGGTAATGACGCACGACGGAGAGTCCAAAGGACCTGTTTTTATATTTATTACGGCCGGATGACCGGATGTCGATGTTTTTGATCTTTGGCGCAATGTTAACCCTTCCGCTCCGTAATGCGGTTAGGCAGCGCGGCATTATTCTTGACCGCACACGCGCACATACACACACATACACACACAAACACACGTCGCGTTTCTTATTAATAATGCGACAGCACGTAAGCTGCAGGCTATGCTTTCACGTTCCACTGCTATTTATGAATAAGGTAACAGTCAGGCTTTAGTTGCGCACAAAATATAAATGAACCTTTTACTACCGAACAAGTAAATCCACGCAGCACCGGCGAGTCAACTCGTCTGGTAAAACTCAAATTCAGTAATGAATATCGATCTGCGTCGAAAAAGGACGAAATTGTCGGACCAATCGGGTTGAGCCTGCGTAGACACGACGCTCTCACAAGTATCGATCTTCTGTAAGCATGTACAGTACCGGCCAAAAATATACTACCTTTAACCATTTGAGCCACGAATTTTTCCTTTCAACCGATTTCTATAAAATTTTGTATCCAGGCATTTTTTGAGTCGCTGATTACGTGAATTACGTTGTCAGATTTTCGAAATTCAAAATGGCGAATCCAATATGGCTGACGTAAAATTCAAAATTTAACCAATTTCCGTGAAACTAGGTACCCAGCAGTTTTTAATGTCGCTAATTACAAATCCGTTGTCAGATTTTCGAAACTCAAAATGGCGTAGAAATCTAGGTTTTTTCAAATTCTCGCTGTATCAAATCAGCCATCGTGAATTTTGAAAATCTGATGATGGATTCATAATTAGCGACCTAAAAATCCCTCAATATCAATTTTTCTAAAAATTGAAGTTTTTTTTAAGTTTTTCGTCCGCCATATTGGATTGATCATCTTGAATTTTGAAAATCTGATAATGAATTCGTAATCAGTGACCCAAGAAAACCCTAGATACCTAGTTTCACGAAAATTGGTTGAATTTTTAATTTTATGTCCACCATATTGGATTCGTTATTCTGAATTTCTAAAATCTGACAACGGATTCGTAATCAGCGCCCCAAACAAATTCCTGCGTATTAATTCTCAGATAAAAATAATTAATTCCTCGCCTTGCCATACATTTATTTTTAAAAACATTTTATTGTGTTTACTTATTTACTATTAGCAATAATAAATTTAAAACATTTATAAGTAATTACAATTATTTTACATTAGTTAGGGTCTTAAGAAGCTAAAAAATATAATTGCTAAGAAATCGTTAAAATTGCTCATAAAATATGAACAACTGACGGAATACAGGTGGGTCTCTGGGTGTCCGCCTGCGTCACAAAGGGTTAAGATATTTGAGCATAACTTGGTTTGAAGTGTATGGATATATATATTAGATCATAACATGTTTTGATAACAGGTGCAGCTTACCGAACAAAGCATAATACTTTCAATCAAACAACATCTCGCGAAAAATTTGAATCCGGTTTCTTTACCATGAAGGAAGTTATGCTCAAAAATCCTAAAACTAATATATTTTTGGTTGATTTTGGTACTACAGAGAAAGAGCATAGCAGGATAAACATGTATGTGTTGCCCCCGCTTGGATCTAGTTGAGATTTTTACAATAAGTTGACATTGATGTAAGATAATATTTCCCAAGAGATTATATTTAAAAAAAATTTTTTATAGGAATTATGGAAGTAGAAAGAAAAATCGATAAAAATTTTTTTCTCGAGAACGGTCAAACCGATTTTGATGGAAAAAATGTATGTTATGGGTTTCAATGCCACAATATTATAACAAAATTATGGAATTTTTTTTTCAAAAAATACAGTTTAAAAAAAATTTTCAAAATCTTTTTGAATTTTTTTTATGTTATGCACTTGAGGCACTATCACCATTTTCTCTCTAAAAAATCTTTAGATATTCTAGAATAACATGTCCGAGTTTCAAAACGATCGGAAGGGTAGTACATAGTTTTAAAATGTGAAGATCTTGAGTGCGTCACGTACGGCATATGGCGCGCTGTACAGTCCTTTGCTTTGTATGCAACAGCATCTTATGATTCATTGTGTGACTAGGAATAGTTAAATAACTGGCCAAATTTTTTTTTTAAAGACTTAAAATACAAAATATTATGTTTAGTATAACGGCAATAATTGTTTGAAGAATTGAAAAGTTGAAGTGAATTATTTGCAGAATCGTATAATTTTTCTGGCCAAGTCATTTATTCTAAATCTGGCTAAATCTCTAAACCTCCTCACAATTTACAAACTGAAAACGGACAAATTAAAAACAAATCTATACAATTTTTCATTCAAATGTCTGCGATCAGTCTACGATAAGTGTAGTTTCTAAGGTCTGCTACGGGGAGGTTGCAGTACGTTTTTAGCCTCTTTATTATGAGATGTTTATCGTGAGTCTCCTCGCCTTTCACAAATCGGGGTGCTTTTTAATGTGAGTCCCCTCGCCTCTCACAAATCGAGGTGCTTTTTTAATGTGAGTCCCCTCGCCTCTCACAAATCGGGGTGCTTTTTTAATGTGAGTCCCCTTGCCTCTCACAAATCGAAGTGTTTATTGTCTGCAAGATTCAATCCTCATCACTGTCATTCTCGATTACAGGAGTAATATTATCCTCCTGAAACATTATGGTCAAGCATTCGGTATTTTTGTTTCAGTATTCCATGGACAACTTCTACTGCCCACCGAATTTTCGTTACATAGCGAGACTCATTTGATTCTTTTGTGGTCAATTGCTTTCGTTTCCCTTTCAATGCAGGCATCAACACTTTGATCTTCTTAAGTTCTAACTCAGCCTTGACGTCTCGAAAACCACGATCGAGAACTGCATAGTCATCCTTTTTCAACAATTTGCACAAGCTGTTTGGATCTTGTAGGAGAGATTTTAAGATCTCTGCGTCATTTACATTTGCAGGATATGATCCCAATACATCAACTACGTAGCCATCAGTTGTGCAAATCGTGAAAGGCTTGCAAAGTGGGACTTTCTTTTGCCCAGAAAATTATTTTCTTTGAAACTCATTATTCATACTTTTTTGATGACAAGCATACGTTCCATCAAAGATCAACATTAGATTTTCGTGACAAGTAAATAAATTCTTGGCAATTTCAGTATCGTACTGCAACCTCCCCGTAGCAGACCTTAGAAACTACACTTATCGTAGACTGATCGCAGACATTTGAATGAAAAATTGTATAGATTTGTTTTTAATTTGTCCGTTTTCAGTTTGTAAATTGTGAGGAGGTTTAGAGATTTAGCCAGATTTAGAATAAATGACTTGGCCAGAAAAATTATACGATTCTGCAAATAATTCACTTCAACTTTTCAATTCTTCAAACAATTATTGCCGTTATACTAAACATAATATTTTGTATTTTAAGTCTTTAAAAAAAAAATTTGGCCAGTTATTTAACTATTCCTAGTCACACAATGAATCATAAGATGCTGTTGCATACAAAGCAAAGGACTGTACAGCGCGCCATATGCCGTACGTGACGCACTCAAGATCTTCACATTTTAAAACTATGTACTACCCTTCCGATCGTTTTGAAACTCGGACATGTTATTCTAGAATATCTAAAGATTTTTTAGGGAGAAAATGGTGATAGTGCCTCAAGTGCATAACATAAAAAAAATTCAAAAAGATTTTGAAAATTTTTTTTAAACTGTATTTTTTGAAAAAAAAATTCCATAATTTTGTTATAATATTGTGGCATTGAAACCCATAACATACATTTTTTCCATCAAAATCGGTTTGACCGTTCTCGAGAAAAAAATTTTTATCGATTTTTCTTTCTACTTCCATAATTCCTATAAAAAATTTTTTTTAAATATAATCTCTTGGGAAATATTATCTTACATCAATGTCAACTTATTGTAAAAATCTCAACTAGATCCAAGCGGGGGCAGCACATACATGCTTATCCTGCTATGCTCTTTATTTCAATTCGGAAATTGTGTATTTTTATATTAATTTACCATCAGTCGCTGCAGCAGAATTCTACGATGGCCGACATCCCGAGTAGAAAAATTAATAGGGCTTTGGTAAGGGCCTGATTATTTTTCTCTAACATTCAGTTCATCAATCAGAGCTAGTAGTGATAGAAAGGACCTTACAAGATATATAACAAATGGTTTAGTGAATTCTTACAAAGCAATATTATAAAGATCTTAACAGGAAATATTAACAGGGGTTTTATGAGGCAATATTAAGAGGACTTCAGGGTATTAAGGAATCATATTAAGATGTAGAGTTAAAATCCATTCTAAAATTTGAGATATTCACTCTTGCAATTACGACTCGAAATATTTTTATTATTGCTGGAGTAAAAATATTCGTTCTTTTCATTCCAAGAAATTTAGACTGCAATTTCTTTATTTCTTTATAACGTTGTTCTTTATAACCTATACAACAAGAATTTCTTATTTTGAAAATATAGCATACTTTACGCATAATCCTGCTATTGGTTTTATTAAAGTTTGCTGCATTTCAAAACGAAGGCAACATTAGAAACATTAGAAAAATCTTTAGAAAAGGCTAATGAATGTGACAAATAATAAAATTAACTAATAAAACTAATAAAACTAATAAAACTAATAAAACTAATAAAACTAAAAAAAACTAATAAAATTTATTTTTAATTGCGGTATAATTAAAAAATCTTTAAAAGAATAAGATAGAGCATACCTGCTAAAACAATACCGAACTATTATAATTTTATTACATGCTTCAGATCTTATTGATTTTTTATAACAAAATTTGACTTTGTATATCTAAAGCATCCTTAAAAGATCCTTCTAAGGCCCATATCGGTTGTCCATGTTAAAGCCTTACTTATTAAATCCAAGTCATCCCTTAAAAATCCTTCTGAGGCCCTTCTCAGTTTTTCCTATCAAAGTCTTATTTCACAAAATCTAAGGCATCCTTTAAAAATCCTTCTAAGACACTTCTCAGCTTTTCCTATCAAAGCTTTATTTCGCAAAATCTAAGGCATCCCTAAAAAATTTTTCTAAGGCTCTTCTCAGCTTTTCCTATCAAAGCCTTATTTGTTAAATTTAAGACACTCGTAATGAGCCCTTCTAAGGTCCTCATCAGTTTTCCTTATCAAAATCATATTTCGTAAGATCTAAGGTATCCCTAAAAGATCTATCTTGGGGCCTGACGTAATAATAATGATAGGCATCCCTTTTCAGGGCATCCTACTTTCAGCCTTATCGGAGCCTTATGCTTCATGAAGATAACCCTAAGAATTTTTTGCTCGGGATGACGGTGGAATTTGTTGTTTGCGTGAAAGTATAAGCAGACACGATACGCCGAATTTCGCGGGTAATGAGACGGGAAGACGCCCCGACGTTAATTCTATGCTCGAAA